AAAGCCCTTGCCTGGCATAAGCAGCGCTGAGCAACAACTAAACCATCAGCGTGTTATCAGCATTCTTCTCCTGCTAAATCCAAACCACAGCACTGTGCCTGCTGCTGGGAAGAAAATTAACTCTATCCCAGCCAAAACCAGGACAACGTATTGCAGAGAAAAGAAACAGGATTTGGGCTGGGATGTAGATATAGTTTGACTTGTGGATAGAGGAAGACAATCAAAGGCAAAGCTTTGGGTATAGGCCTGAGCAACAGTGACACAGTGGCATGGGCTGAAGAGAGTTTTCGAGATGAATTTGGAGACAAGGATGATGGTTCAGAGATGGCATGTAAAAGTGTGCTAAGAGATGGAGACCTTAGCAGGAGGGAAAAGGTGGATTTATTACTCTGCCACCTCTACATGGGTAAGTACCATAAGTGAATTAGCTATAGAGGGTGGCCCTCCGATACGAGGAGGGTCTAAGGACAACACGCTGTTTTGCTACAGCACACTGTAAAGTATGTCAGGCTGGCTTCTGCTGTCACTTATACCTGAAGCAGCCCTAAGAAAGTGAGTGTTCTTCTGGATTGTAGTGGAGATTCCAATCTACTTCACAGCGTTTCTTATTAAAACACTTTTTAGGACATAAATGTCATTCAAGTATGTTTACAACTGACTTATGCGTATAACATACCGTCAGCTGTAATTATTCAGTGCCTAGGCTAAAGGCAACTCATAGCAAGTACTGAGATTTATTTATTTATCAGTTTTATGGCTGGTATGCTCGCAGTCCCGCCAGACTGCATGTTGATTACTGTGTATCTCAAGAGCTAAACAGACGCTGGCTGCGTTCCAGCTTGGGTGGGAGTTCAGGAGGAAAGACACGCATGTTGTAGGAAGTGATGTTGGTACGCCACGAAGCAGCAGACTCTGAGTCATTTCTCAAATGGCGACTGCAGCGTGTTCCGCTGGATGCCATGCTCTGGAGGTGTGACTTGGGTGGAGGTCTTTCAAGTGAGAGGATTGCTAAAAGCAAGTATCTTAAGTGGTTGTATTTTTACAATTATTTTTTTCTATGTGTTGGGATAAGATGCAAAATATTGCAGGTAGTATTTACTTGAAAGAGGAAAAAGTTCAGAAAAGTGCTTTGGATGAATTCTAGTCCAGGGGTCATTATTTCTAGCTAAGCTTTCTTCTGAAGTTCAGTAGGAGGCCGTAGTCTTTCTCTGGTGCCTAAACTCTTGAATCGTGTGTTGCTGTGTGCAGTAGGACCGTGTCCCACCCAAGTACTACCCAGTTTTTCTACTATTGTGTCCCTCCCAGTAGTGCACTTCCCGCAGGTGTTAAGCCTTAATATTTGTGACATGATTTGAGATGCTCGGCTGCGAGGTGTTGCAGAAATAAAATTGCTTTTATTTATGATAGTAGCATGGTAATTAATGCTACAAAAATGAATATTTCAAATGAGAAGAAAAGCTCAATGAGGTACAGCAGTTCTTACGTGAACAATGAGTTGGTACTCAAGTTGGTTGAGTTGGTACAACACAAAGACTGCTCCTACTGACTTAATACGAGAACAAGGAGTTGGTAGAGAGTTTGGAATAACATAGGTTGGCATAACGTGCTAACTTTTATTGTTTTTTTTAAAACTTAGCTTCTGGTTATGTAGACGTCAATCTTGTGCAGCGTTCAGCAAAAAAAAGGCCTGCCGTACCTCTGGAGGTAGAGGTTTCGGACTGAGCTGTCCTCCCCAGCTAGTCACAGCTTAACTGCGTAGCAGGACCAGGAGCAAAGATTTCCTGATCCAAGCCTGCAGAGTCAGTGGGAGGAGGCAGAGCTGCTCCCCAGACAGTACAGTTCCCAAGAGTGGAACAGCTTCTGGGAGGAAGGGAGCTTGCTAGACACAGTTTTTGGCAGCCGCAGCTCTTCCGCTTCAGCCTTGATTGTATGTGATGCAAGCAGGGTTCTGCGTTCATCCTTCTTGTCTCCTCATTTTATCTTTCCTGCTTAGGTTTAACTTGTGGGCTTCCTTCTTATTTGCAGTAGTTAAAGGCCAAGCGTAAACTGCCTGTGTGGCAACGGGAGGCTGAGCAGCAGGAGAAATGCTCCCTTTTCCAGAGCCTATTACTGAATTCACCGCCGTGTTCAGCCACTGATGGGGAAACCACCGACTTCCCTGTTGACCATGGGCATCCTTTGGCACTTCAGCAAAAGTGACTGATGCAGGCTAAATTTGAGTGACATATGGCTAGTGAAAAGCATATACAGCCTAACCGCAGATTTCCGTGCGTGAAGTACCGTGTGGTGGAATAAGATCAGAGAGAAAAGCAAGACAAATCTCGGAAGGAGGAGATCCAAGGACAGAGATAGAAAGCGCTCGGGCTGGAGAGCTGTGATTCTCATAAGACAGAGGCTTCATTTCACGTGAACAACTTCTCCTTTTCCCTCTTTCACTACCCTAGCACAGAAAACTCTTCTAAAATGCCAGGCTAGGGATCCCTGCAGCCCGTGAGAGGCCGTACTTCCTCGTATAGGGGGACTGTTGGGTAGCAATGCTACCATTGGTAGCATTGATGGTCCCTGGACCATCGTTTACTCCCCCAATCTTCCCAACCCTCATCTCTCTTGGCCTCACCTTGAAAGCATCGCGCGTTGCCGCAGAGGGAGTTAGCACAGCACTCGCTCTTCGTGCCGTGCTCGCTCCCTTTTCAAACACCCACCCGCTTTGCTGCGTAATTGCCTTCATGACAACCCGCGGAGCGCTTTCTGTTTGCAGGGTGAGGATTTCAACTCTTGAGTGATTCAGCAAAAGTTTGTTCTTGCATACTACTGTACTATTGTTGAAACATCAAAAAAAGCTAACTTGAGAAAGAGCTGAAATTCCTTCGGAGTATTTCTGCCTTTAAGTGTACTGCACTCCAAATATTTTAGAAGGTACGGGACGTTAGAGTATAATGCAAATAGTAATTATAGGGTACTGGACCTGTATGTGTCTGTAGGTAGCTGTGAGGGGGACAGCGACTTGTAGAATTTCATTTACCAAGTTAAACATCTTTGCACAGCTGCTTTAGTATCAAGTAGATACGTTTTCTTCCAGAAATGAGAATAACTGCTTTTAAGATGGACTATCACTAGGAACGACAAATGGTGGCAGAATAAAAATGCCCTTTCACGCACCTTTTCCTACATTCCTGTCTCCCCTTTTTGACTGTGGGATCAATAGCGCATTGCTCTGCTGGCTCAAACACTATTTCTGTCTTATTCAGATAACTCTGTGCCGCAATGTATTATTTGTGAAGTCTGTTGGCAAGCTATTGATGGCAAATGGGGGAGCTGCGTATCGTAGAGTCCGCAATAAATGAATACCAATTATTACCTCTTTTAGAACTTAGATAAAAAGAAAACTACCCGCAGAACGAGAGATACTGCATTAATTAAACAAATAACTGTGAGTGGGAGTTTTTTTTCGTAGAAGTGTTATACTGAGCTGGTTTATTTACTTACAATTTATTAGTGAGTATTGTTTAGTGCACCAAATTTGCATCAAAACCTGTGATCAGAAAGTTTGGGTAAACATAGTATCAAAATAAGTCAGAGGTTATATGAAGTGTGCACATCTCTATACCATATCCATTGCCACAGTGAGAAGTTTATAGCAAATTTATCAACTGAGTTCAGGCTTTGTTGTTCTCTCGGTGCACTGTACGGGCTGCTTAGAAAGAGGAAAAAACCAACTGGGGTAGCAGAAATGTTTGCTTTGATTTTTAGATGCTTCCTTCACTTCTAAAATGTAATTCTGATTAATCAGATACATCTGTCTTTATTCTGTTGTGAC